CTATTGACCTCTGTCCACTCCAGCCCCCCTGACACACACTCAAGGACATGTAAACATACATATATCCACACATACACACAAACGCATGCACACACAAACACGCACACAAAAACATGCACACAAAAACATGCACACAAAAACATGTACACAAAAACATGCACACAAAAACATGCACACAAAAACATGCACACAAAAACATGCACACACACACACACACACACACACACACACACACACACACACACACACACACACACACACACACACACACACACACACACACACACACACACACACACACACACACACACATGCCCGCTCCTCAACTTGAATTACCACTCATATTCATAAGCACACACATACAGACATGAACGCACTCGATTGCCAGATGATTGACAGGTGTTACTCACACACATTATTGGTATTATATTACCCAATGAATATTGTCATATTCCACAATGCTCAAAACATACTGGTAATATATTCAAATTTAATACTTTGTGTTCCCACCCCCTGCTGCCGAGACACAGTTCAAGTGTTGATGCACATTTACCACTAACTTGTCTATCAAGGCATGGCCTTCCTCACAGAGTGGACATTCACATGCTTACAAGGCATTATTTATGACTGTGACATGATTATGAGTTTGTTCTTGCCACATGCATTTTAACATGGCTGCCCTTACATTTTCTGGAGATCTGGGTGAATGAGGCAGAGTATGTTCGCAAACCAATTCCAAACATCACAGCTGGTGTAGATGGGGTTATTGTGTTGAATAAGATAGAAGGGCTCAGTTTCAGGAAACACCATAGCCCTAACTGTTGGGAGGAAAACCTCAAGGATTTCTATATATCTGCTGCCCGTTAATTTGAAGGGCCAATATCCTTGAACTCCCTGACACCATTTGCATGCATCCACCCAAACAACCTTGCAGTGATTCAGCCACTCCTGCTCGTGACTAAATTCTCTGGTTCATATCTGTTAAATGATAATACTGCATTAGATATAGAGATAATATGATATGTACATAGAGATATTTTTATATAAAAGTTTTTTAGCATTCATAGTTGCTTATCTGCAAATTGCAAGGCATATTCCATCCTGGACGAGTATTCGAGACCTTATGAATCAGGATGAGATCAATTTGAACCCCAAAATGTCAGCCCTTCTGCAACATCAGGTTCTGTTCATTATTTGGTATTGTGACACCCCTCTTAATAGTTTTTTATGTATCCGTACATGCCAGCCCATGCAACATTGGAATAAGTTAAGTATGATTTTAATATTTGTACTTTTTCCAGTGTATGAACAGAGTAAACTCCGCAGTAACATCAAATGTCTCTCGCCATTACGAGATATAAACCAGGAATTTGTTCTTAGCATCCCAGAGTTTCTTCCCAGACTAGTGAATTTTGCCACAAATCTTCCATGTGAGTATAAGAAATCATTTCAGTATTTGTATCATTACACAGTTGTATTATTGCCATTTGAGCTTTGCAAATTTTCACTTTTCCTTACAATAGGAATGTGAGAGCTATTGAAAATGATACTAAACATGATTTGATTTTCTTTTACCATTATTTTTATGACTAACAATTAACTGAGGCCTAGTTGTTAGTGCTAGTGTTAGTTAGTTGTAAGTAACATTTTGTTATTTGTATAATGTAAAGAAAATTTCATAATCAGTTTTCTGCAATGCAACCTGCACAGCCAGGAATAGGTTCCTGAGTGTGGAAATAGTGTCCTTCCTGGAGCTGGCGCTCTTGCAGTCATGGCTCATGGATAGTATATTCCAGTTATTTATCGATGGAAGTAATGCAGAAGCCCCCTGCCAAATGTCAGATGAGTCTAATCACCCTCCAAGTCTTTCTTGGAGGGTGAGTCTTTCCCGCCACATTGGCCTTCATTCAGAATGCTCATGATGGCAAGTTTGCATCGCCCCGGCCCACAGTCAGATTTCCCCATGATGGCATGTTCACGTCACCCACACTGCAAACCCAATTTTTTAATGATTTGATGGTCTTCTCATCCAGATCGTCAAATTACTCTATGATATGAATAAGTACTCAGTCACACTCTTCTATCTTCACATGCTAAAATTTATTCTTAATACTCTCTAAAATTTATACAGATGAACCGCGATATGAGGGCATTACTATGGAAGTTGATCATTGGATAAGGTTAATAGAAGACTCAATGTCTGATGTCCTGAATGAACACAACCCTCTCATTGTCACAGGTAAGTCTGTAGATTGATTTTCTTTCTTCTTTCTGTTTGATGTTTTTCTTAGTAATATACATTAATGCAGTGACAGGTTTTGACAAGAATGTTGGTATTTGGCTTGCATGCATCAAACTGCAAAGTAATGTTTTAAGTGATAAAAGAACAAACAACAAACAAAAAAGCAGGCCTTTGTATTTGCTGTAATGAGTATTCTCCTGAAAAAAAGTGAGGAAAGAAGAATTATCTGAGGATGAGATGAAATCTAAGTTGCATGAATTAGATCCAAGAACTTTGTGAGAAATATTAGGGCTTATAGTATTCTTATGCATTAATTATGCATATTAGAGATGATCCAAACTCCTATTTGGTTCTCTGATTGAATTATGTAAAGCTGCCTTAGTTGTGTATATCCTTGTTTATGTAATTATTTTCTTGTGAAACAAAATCTGTTCCAAGAATCACAGGCCTGTGTAATGCATTTTTCATTCTAGGCTATCCAATTATAAGTATGATTACTGGCATTCATTTAACTTTGTGTCAATATAAATATTAATCTGCTTATTAAAGCAAGGATAAGAACATTTTCAATAAAGTACTTACAATCATTCAAATCATTATCCATATGAAATTATATAACCATTAAGGTTAATCTACTTTTCTTTTCTTTTTCAATGACTTATTGCATATTTTCAGTATACAAATTATATTAACCCGTAACCCAGTTAGTAATTTGTAGCCCTTAGTGACAGTGCCAGATTTCCCCATTCCTTGAATTTACAGGAAAATGGAAATTGATTGTGTTGTTTTTTATTGACTTTAGGATGATTATAATGTTCAAATACTATTGACAGTGAGAACAATAGAATGATGTAAGAATCTGAAAATCAAAGAAAAGGGTATGTAAACAGAAGTGATAGATAGGACTAGAACTGATTATAAATTGTGCAATGTTTTTATTGTTTTTCTTTTAATGTGGTTGATAGGATTTGATTTTAACACAAGCATCATATATATATCCAACTTTGGGGTTCAGCAATAATGCATGAGCAATGGTGTCGTGCAAAATAAACCAAATCTACCGGCTTGTTAGTTGTGGCAATCGATCATATGGTCCTGTGCCATATTGTTACAACCAGCTTAGACCTTGAGGATAGCAAAGATTTTGTTTTTTGTTTTCATTGAAGCTCAGATAATCAAAGAAACAAAATAATGATAAGGCAGCTGCTTTGTACTAAATCTATATGACTGAGAACCATGAAGACCAAAGTCCATCTGAAATGACAAATTTGTATAAAGACTTAATTGATATAGGCCTAGAAATTTTGTATTATTACATCACAAAAATAAAGTGTTGTAGGAAAAAAACGTGACAAGATTATATTTCAAAATATCAGCCCTTTATAAAACATTAATTCCAACAAATAAAAGAATAAAGCAAGGTCACTTGATAACTACAAATTCTTGTTACTCTAACCATTTCTCATTATGTCTGCACACATGTACACACATTTGTAAATTAGTACATATATTTAAACATTCATGGGTAATTTTCTATATTACGTCCGCATAACCGATATCGACGATTTTAGTATCGTTGGATTCCTCTCACTCTCCACATTACAAATATATAGTTTTAATTGCGCGGAAACCTCCCGTTAGCGACAAACTTGGCTCCGATAGCAGGGGAGGGCATGAAAGGTTCCAGGGAAAATGCGGGGTTAAATAGCACTAATTATATAACGCACAGTGAAAATAACCATGGTTATTCACATAACTTTCCATTGCAGGGGGCTGCGCCCCCCTGCGAACCCCCTGCCGAGGAAACATAACCATCACGTATTCCCGGCAGGCTAGAGCGTTACACAATCGTCGTCGATGTCGGAGCGGCGGGCGTAATATTACAATTACCTCGTGAGATTCCTACTGAATTAGCATATTAACCTTGGCATAGTCAGCACTGTATATAGAGACGATTGTAGTATAATCAGGATGAACAGGTTGGCCCGCCCTCGTCGGCGGGTTTTGCGCCTCTTTCGATGTTACACCGATGGACTCAAGGTCGAGTTTCCCGTCCACTTGAATAACGACATCCGTATTCCTAACCAAAATAACCGTCGCGTTCAGAAGTCAGTCATAGTTGCCGCGATGGCCGAGTGTGGAGGGTGCTTGTATTCGGAGACGGTTTTTCTGTGCAATATTGCAACTAGCCAGGAAAAAATGCTAGAGATGTGCTTCCCCCACGGCCTCCTCCGTTTGGAGAAAGCCTGCGGCAGGTGCGGCCAGCCAGGACGCACCCTGCCTCCTTCACATTCTGCGGCAAAGGAGCACCCTCCCTACTAATTAGCGGCATTAATCAATCAGGTTAGTACCTTAAAAATCCTAGGTTATTGTAGGTTATTGGCTCCGCATCTAGTTCGTGTGCGCTCTATCCTGCCGTGAATACGTGGTGGAGGTTTTGTTTCCTCGGCGGGGGTTGGGGGCGGCAGCCCCCCCAGGGGGGGTCGCAGGGGCACAGCCCCCTGCAATGGAAAGTAATGTGAATAATCATTGATTATTTTCACTGTGAGGTTATATTATTAGGGTAATTTTATATATTACGACCGCTGCTCCGACATCGTCGCCCCCGATATCGGGGCCAAGTTTATGGCTAATAAGGGGTTTCCGTGCAATAAAACCTACATATTTGCATTGTATAAAGTGAGAGGAACCCAAAGATACCAAAATCGTCGATATCGGTTATGCGGACATAATATAGAAAATTACCCATTCATGTATGCACATTTATGTACATGCATACTTGTTTTATTACGTGCACATGTATATGTACGCAAGTGTACTTGTATATCCACATAGATATGTATGTATATATAAGTACATCTAGATGGTAGAAAACATTGATATAACTTCATTTATGTATGGGTCATGTTGCTGAGATTGGCATCCACAGAGGTACCTTTTTTGTTTTTATTGTAACTCAGGAAAAAGTAAAAAAAATTTCATGTAACCAAAGACATTTGAAAAAGATGTGTGTAGTTTTACTAGTAATTAGATTATAAATTTTGATGAAAGGAAAGATGCGGACAAAATTTTTTGAGATTATGCACAGTTTCTATCAGATCTAAGTTGTGTTCATAACATTGCAAAGCTAATGAAAATGTGCAGAAATTTGTGGTGGATTTTTTGCTTTTGCAAATATTTGATAATCGCCTATTGTACTTGGCTTCTCCTGCCCACATTTTGCCCAAAATATGGGCATTAGGTTTGAGTGATCACTATAATGGGTATACAGCTTGTAGGCTGGGGGCACACGTACACATATATGGTGACAAGAGTCTCCACATTGCGATGTTATTTTATATTTTTTGGCATAGGCATTTTTAGTTCTTTTGTTATTTTCCAATGTCTGTATTTTTCATTAGATTTACTTAATTAAAATGGCAATAAACTGTTTTCGTTACATAGACTTAATTTCATCTTTTAGTTTTTGTAATACAACCTGTGCCGCTGGTCACAGCGGGCATGAATAGGATTCTGAACATGGAAATATTGTCCTCATTAGAGATGGTGCTCTTCCAGTCATGGCTCATGGATGGCATATTACACATTTAGATGTCAATGGATGTGTGAAATTCATGTTGAACAGATTGCAATAGGAACAACGAAGGGGAGGGCAAGAAAACACACGAATATGCTGAAGGCCTTTTCACTATTGCTTCCTCAGGGCCCCGACGAAGCAATAGTGAAAAGGCCTTCGGCATATTCGTGTGTTTTCTTGCCCTTCCCTTCGTTGTTCTTATTCCATTGTATGTCAATGGATATAATGTAAAGGCTTCTTCCAAAAGCTCACTGAGTCTGATCACCTTCTAAAAGCTTTGTGGGCTCGTTGTGAGTTATTCTTGTCACCCTGGCCTGCAGCCAAATTTTCCCATGGTGGTGTTCATTTTAGCCTATAACCATTAGCCGCTAGGTGGCATGTACATACATGCCATGACTTAATTTCATCTTTTAGTTTTTGTAATACAACCTGTGCCGCTGGTCACGGCGGGCATGAATAGGATTCTGAACATGGAAATATTGTCCTCATTAGAGATGGTGCTCTTCCAGTCATGGCTCATGGATGGCATATTACACATTTGGATGTCAATGGATGTGTGAAATTCATGTTGAACAGATTGCAATAGGAACAACGAAGGGAAGGGCAAGAAAACACACGAATATGCTGAAGGCCTTTTCACTATTGCTTCCTCAGGGCCCCGACGAAGCAATAGTGAAAAGGCCTTCGGCATATTCGTGTGTTTTCTTGCCCTTCCCTTCGTTGTTCTTATTCCATTGTATGTCAATGGATATAATGTAAAGGCTTCTTCCAAAAGCTCACTGAGTCTGATCACCTTCTAAAAGCTTTGTGGGCTCGTTGTGAGTTATTCTTGTCACCCTGGCCCGCAGCCAAATTTTCCCATGGTGGTGTTCATTTTAGCCTATAACCATTAGCCGCTAGGTGGCATGTACATACATGCCATGGCTGTTGTGGACAGAAAAATGGATGGCATCGCTGGTTTTTCTCAGATAGTAACGGCTTTATTTATATGGTAAAGATTTTAGGCAATAGCACCTATATTGAAGGTAAACATTCAAAATTATAATATTTTTATAAATTATAGCAAAATAAGAGCTTTTAGGTGCCAAATGTCGGTCGCAAAATACCGAACTAGCCGGGCGCAAACGGGAAACTGCCAATGCGCTCCAACAATCCCATTATTTCGTCCACTTGCCAGACTTTTTACCCGGTGGTATTGGGATAATATAGTGTCATTTGACATTTATTCTTGCTGACTGCTAGCTATAACACAGTAGTTGTAGTTCTTACCAACCTTATGTAAAATAGAATACTGCAAAAAAATGACATAATTTTTAAGTTTCACAGGATAAAATTCTTATTGCAACCATTTGATGGAGAACTCAAATTTTGATCGTGATTGAAGGGAAATGTGGAGATTGCTATGAATATATGAATAAAACACTCATGAATAAATATCTATATATTTTTATTCTAAAAAACAGCAAAATGTGTATCTGGATGTATAGATGCAGTGTTATACATAATAGTATGGTGTGTAGAGGGCAAATGTGTGTAGAGGAAAAGATGTATGGTTTAGCTGGATGAAATATGCTATACAGTACCAGATTTATTACTCCACACCTACATTTTATTCACTAGATGATGTAGGACTATTTATATATTGTGCAATTATCCTCTTTGCCCTGATTGTGGCAAAGACACCCTGCCTGTCTCTCCTGTTTAGAGTTGAAATTAAGTATGATCTATAAAAAAACTGTGATCTCAAAATTGTTTTTTGACAAAAGCCCAAAAACAGATTAATAATTTTATGACTCATACAGTGGGGTCTCCCAGACCTCATTGTTTTTAATCTGGGTCTACATCTGAGAGTAAAAATGATGATAGAACAAGTGGTCCCCTTAATAAAAGGCCTGATTTTAAAGAATCAAATATTTATCAAGCTAAG